GAAAAAAAAAGAAATATGATTTTTTTTTAAATATGTAAATATGTAATTTCGTATTATTAACTAAACATGTGCTTTAAGTGTAATTAGCAGTGTGAGTTCAACATTAATGATTAATGTGTATGTGAGGCTTTGTGTGTGTTTTATGTGTTGTGTCGGGGTATGAATGTGTGCCAAACAACCTCCTAACTCTTCATTGGTACCGGACGGTAACGCTGTGGTGAAGCAGTGCCGTGGGGAGAGGGTCAATTTAGAGTGGCCATTCCCCTCATGGCATTTGTAGCCACCATAGCAGCCAAATGGTGGCTCTGGACAGGTGCAAGGTGCTGGCATCCCCTACACCTTCAAATAAATTATCACAATACCACCGAATAAAAATCGAATGAAACTTGTGCCGGAGGCCCCGGGGGAGACAGGTGTCCATGACATTTCCTGGCCAAACCCCATTTGGCGGAACCAGGAGACTGAATCCTTACCCTTGGGGTTCCTCTAGATACAGCAAAAAACTACTGCGGTGGCCACGTGGAATGTTCGAACGCTCACTGCGGAGGAGAGGCTGTCACTCCTCTGTTGGGAGCTGGACCGCTACCGCCTGGATCTCTGTGGTCTTCAGGTGGTCCGGTGGACCGGCTCTGGCTCCTGCCACCATGAGGGGTGGACAGTCCTTTACTCAGGCAAGAGACTGCCAAACAGTACTATGCATGACAAAGGTTTATAACGGTAAATGCTAGGTAGAGCGCTTTATTAATATAGAATACTCTCGATGATTCCAATTTTACACGCTTTCTTTGAACTCACTCTGTCTGTTGTTGTTGTCGTTGTTGTCGTCGTATACTCAAATCTTGTAACTCAATTTTAACCCACTTACCAATGTGGTATCGACTCAAACTTGGTATACATATGTCATACTGAAGACAACACTATATTCTATTATTAAAAAAATATATAAGCTATATTTTTTATATGTTATGTTTCGGCTTGGGTCTAATTGTCCACACTCAACTAACGTTGGCTGTAATTGCCCACGGCCCCTTACGTTATGGCAAGCTTTGGGGCCACTTCTTGGAGTCGTGGAGTTCTGCCATTACTAGCACATTTAATAAAAGCGTGTTTAAAAACTGTTTTTAAAAATATTACTTATTAAATGGAAGCCACGGACTGCGCCACGGAGCTTTTAGCGGTAAACAAGGTACCGTATTTACCGGGTAATACTTCGCGCTACCTTTACCCTACCGGGTAATTCTTCCGAGCTACCATTACCCTACCCTTTACCATACCCCTTGGCATGTCGACATCTTTACCGTTTACCTTTACCCTTTTACCCGGTAAAAAGGGTAAATTACCTTACCTTGCCGAGGCCTATCTCTACATACGTGTCACCCAATGCACGTCTCATAACAAGCCACATAATCTAGCACCACAAAGATGCTGAAGATGCAATGGTCTCTGTGAAATTAGTGCCACGTAATACATCGACCTTGAATTGGTACCCGGATGCAATATGAACTTATTTTCTTTTTCTGTAAGCAAATCAGAGGCAATTTTTATTATCGGCTCAGCTTTGCAAATCAAGAAGACGAATATGCAGTCTATTTCTGTCGTTGGTGCACTGGTGCCTATGTCTGAGTCTGCGATGATAATTCGGGTAATGTTTGACAAAAATCTTAATCTCAAATGCCATGTAAAACAAAAAAACATCTGCCACAATTGTAACGACCACATCCGGGCACTCCGTCACGTGCGACCGGTATTGGACAAAGAGACCGCGAGGTCACTCGCTTGTAGTATGGTTACAGCGTTTGGAGCGGTTTTGCCGGATCAGCCCGGGACCGTCGGATAATGTTGGAAGCCGGATAATCGATGATCAACTGTATATACATAAGGCACTTTGAGTTGTTGATGGATTAAAGAAAACGCCACTTACATGCACACCCTCAATCCTTAATGATTACAGTGACACCTCGAAGACGAACTCCGGGGTAAGCCGGATATTGGGCAAAAAGATAGCGAGGTTACACTATGAGGACCTCATTTGCCAGTAAAAATATAATAATTGGTTCTTTACCCTTCTATCTGGCAACAAAACTGACACTTAAAAAGGTGTCAGTTTTGTTGCCAGATAGAAGGGTAAAGAACCAATTATGATAGCGAGGTTCTCTGGAATATACCACCACCATGAGGGAGCGAGTGGTGTCATCCGTTGTCTCCACGTGTGTGCGCGTGCAGATCATCATGAGGATGTTCAACGACAAGCTGAATGACATCCAGAAACACACGGATGAGAACATAAGGGAGATCCAGAAGACTCACCAGAAGGAGATGGACAGTGTGAAGAATAAATCAAAGTGCGTGATCTGTTGACAGCAGTTCTCCTGCTGTGTTGGTCTCACCTGATAACGGTTGCTTGTGTTGCGATCGAAACGTCGTGATCTATTAATTTTCTATCGACGTGACTTTACCGAAAGAACCAAAGAGTCATTTAATATAGCATAATACATACAATCACATGAACATCTGAGTATCACTCCCTCGTTCCTCTTGGAGCAAATTGATGACATAGTGGTGGGAGGACATTTTTGCAAATCTGACAACTGCTGAGAACGATTGATTAAGGGCGCTTTATAAATTAGTATTTTATTGATGATGATGACGATAGTTGTAACTATCAGGGGAAACATCTGCACCCCATTGTTAAATGTCATGAGATTACTCTTCGGCAACATATTCGAATGTTGTGCTCAAGAGGTAATACATAAATTGGCCACGTTTGTTCACTTGACAACATTATGAATTAGCCGTGTTGGTTTGAGGAGGGTCAACTCATGCAATTTGACGCCAAAAATGTTTTATTTGTGAATGAGGGTTACAAGTGTGTCTCCATTTGATCACAATATGGTTATCATATTTCTTGACCGGTAAGTCCTGTTTTCTATTGGCATTTAAGAAGATGAAGGAAAAAAGCAATTGTTTTAAAAATGCATTGCATAAAAAATTTCTCCCCATATTGATTTTAAGATGTTTTTTCTGGCATTCAAGGCCTTGAATGGACATGCTCCTCCCTACATCCATAACCCGCTTCATCCATTATATATTCCATCAAGATCATTAAGATCCTCACATTGTACTTTGCTCACTTTCACCCCGGCCTCCATGCTTCACACGTTGTTTGATCTTAAGCTATTTCGCCTTTCCATGCACAGCGCTCCTCAGAACGATTTTTTAAGGCTGCTTTATTCATTATAATTATTATTGATTGTTCCGAGTCCCTTGGCTTGTGGATTTTTATAGTTTTGTTACGCTCTGGAAAAGGGACCTATGAAGAGGTGACTGCCAAAAACATGATTATGAGCGTGCTGCTTTAACAATTGAGACTTCTGGAAGATGTATTATGAACAACCGGTGGTGGTCTTCTGCCCACCGCGTGATTAGTATATCGTTACAAAGAGCCCTCATTCTGGAATATGATCAGAAATGCACGGCTTTAAGATGGGGAGGGATGTATTGTGGAAGACGACGGTTAATAGCTGATGATGGGTGGTTCGCCATTCTTAGGATGGTTGTCACGCGGTGGAGCAGGTCACAGTGTGTGTGTACGTATGCATGTGTGTATGTTGAACTTCTTTCGCACCGTACGTAGCCAACCGTGCTAATCGGAGGTAGTTTTGGTGTACTGTATAGTAATGTAGTATATAATCGTGTGTGTATTTTGCACTTCTTTCACACCGTGCGTAGCCAACAATCAAAACTATCCAGTCTAACTCCTTTTCTGCTCATGAAGCAACAAACAATTTAACACTGACACACACAGAGATCCCCCGTATAGACTCAACATACTGTTGGGGCAAGTGCTGTTAGCGAGCACCTATAAAGGCTAGCACGACACGAGGGGGTGGCTGGCCAGCAGCACGGCCGGCCGCCTTTGTCTCCCCAGTGACGATGTTTACACACAGCACAAGATCCTCATATGAGGCTGAGTTGAACTATGGGGAGCCCCAGAACGGGTTCAGATAATGTTCACTGGTGTTGGCTTTGGGTCGGAACCAAAGTCGGGTAAACAGGTTCGTGGTGCGGCGCGTTAATTGCTATACTACCGTTCCCCACTCAACCACACACACACAACCACACGTACACAAAACACAACACAGCCCAACTTTGACACAGGTTACTTGCTCAACTCAAACTCCCGTTGATGGCTCCGTCTTCGCGTGTAAGGAGAACTTCGTGTTCGCTGGATGAGTATGTGCGATTGCTTTCCTGTGAATCATTCGAAAATCGAGCTGTTGACAGTGATGGCTGTCATCCTGATGAGTTACCCACAGTCCACTCAGTCCACCTTAGAGTCGACTCAAACGGCTTTCTCCGCAACTCAGCCTCACGACTTCGTTCAGTCCGTGAAGTACCTGGCACGACTTTTCACGATACATTTACAAGATACTTCTACACATCCATTACTGCTCACGTAATATGGTTTTACTCACGAGCAGAGATCCTTTCATATTCCCTTCTTTGATTCGTCCAATTTCTACTAAAATTCATTATTTACAAGAATGTATGTACTAAAATAACCATATATATGGTGGCAATTTACCTTATGCTACGGTAAAACTAATACTGCCTAAAGTTACTTAATTACATGTACTGCAATGTTATTATTATGTTTTATTAATTCCAAATTAACGGCGAAACGTCGTACTCGAATTGTAAATGCTGTGGGTTTCTGCTCCAAACACACTGGTTAGTGCTGAACTAGTAAGGAATTGGCATGTTTTGTTTACGTGACAAACCTTTACTGATTGGCTGTGTCTGGTGGTGGCGGGTTTAACGACACATTTATATTTACACGAACGAATCCAAAAACCTCGATTATGGATCATTCCTTTACGACAATCAATGTTGGGCAATTACGTGGTCGTCTGAGTATTATTAGCCCGATTATGCTCCGTGCAGCAATGTATCTATTTGTGCCGTCTCCTTAGGCCAATATATATTAGTTCCATGAGGACTAATAATGAATAACAATTACATTCATATAGCGCTTTTTATAAAGGATCACAAAGTGCTGTAAAGGACGCTGCAGCGGCAGCAGACACTCAGACGCATAACAAATATATTTTAAACACATTTTAAGAATTCATTTACGAAATGAACTTAAGGTTCAATAAGCAGAGGCGTATACGTAGGTTTTAGGACGCGTTTAAACGAATGTCCACATACTCAGAGACTCTGATATCTCGTGGAAGAGCGTTCCATAGCCTGGAGACTACACAGGGACTGGCTACAGACGTTCTCGCGTGCTGGTTTGAACAAGGGTCACCTAGTCGCTTTGACGCCTCGCCAATGATATAGGCTTAGAGGCCACTGCAAAGTTAACCTCGAGCAATTATAATCCATGCCTGTTGCTGTAAACTGCACGTGTCGTTTTTATAACAGCAAGAGATGAAAGATAATCTACAATCTTGCTTCAAAGCCATCCCAATCCAGGGGCGGTTTCTTCATTAGGGCGATTGGGCGACGCACCACCAATGTCATTCAACCACAGAGTCACGCTAGCCATCACTGTGCCTCTGGATATAGTCCAATCAGCGTCATGCTACGTTCTGTGGAGTGCCGCCTCTTTTTGGGCGATTTCACTCCAGCTGAGAATCGCCCCGAGTGGCCCCATAGACTTACATTCAAAGATGTTTTTTTTCGAACGGGGGCGCTGCAATGCATTCTCTATGGCTTCCGGGAGGGCTCGCCCTAACGTGCTTACGTCATCATACGTGCTTACGTCATCACATGTAAGCACGTTTCATCCAACAATATAATTTGTTGCCACCTAGTGGAATCTTTAATAAAATAAACTTGAGTGGTTTGTTTTAATAGTGAGTATAGAAACAAACAAGATGTATTGTAAGAGTCACTTTATTTTTCATTAATATTAAAGAAGTGAAGTTGCCTTTACATGCTTAAGCTGTTAATTTATCCATTGCATGGGTGGACCTTATCCTTATCAATCATCCAGACATTTGCCCCCCCCCTGAGAGATTTTGCAGGAGCCGCCACTGTCCCAATCGTATTAAAATGTTAACTTCAGGGCAAAGACAGCCCCAACTTTATATCAATAAAGAAGCACTAAGTGCATATTAATTGTAACCCTTTCAATCTGCAAAATTTGTTTATTCACCTGAATTGCCCCGATGATAAATTTTAAGTAAAACATGTTGCAATGCATTGTTGTGGATAACTATAGTCTAGAAGATGAATCCGGACGTCAATTAATTATAATGGAATTCTATTAACCCCCCAAAAATTTGCTTTTAAATAAAGTGCGTCTTATTATACCATAGCATATGGTGGTAGGGTTCCGTTACCAATGTTTTATGATACGATCGGAATTTGGATGATATGACGAGTTTGACGATATCATTTTCCCACATCTTTGTGATTGAGTTTTCACAGTTTTGTCCAATCAGTTGCGTTTTTACTCTGCTTCCAGCACGAATAAAGATTATTTAAAAATATCTTCGAATGCAATGCACTTTACATACGTTTTCTGTGATGCCTAGGCTGGGCGGATGCCGGAAGGCTAAGCATTCCTCACGCTAAACACACACACACGTGTAGCACATGGCAAACACCTGGAAACCTAGAACATCAGCCGCCGGCATCAGATTGGTCAAGGCTCCGTTTCTGGGGGGTGATCGGGCTTTTGCCAGTGCAGCTCCAAGATTATGGAATGCGTTGCCTCTGACAATAAGGCAATCAGAATCTTTAGAGCTATTTCAATCTTGCCCTGACAACTCACCTCTTTTAAATGGCATTTTCACCATAGTTTTGGTCGTTAACGCTGGCTCTGTATTATTTACCTGCTTTCCATACACGGCACAACGGGATCCTTGAATGAAATGCGCCGTAAAAGTGTAAATTATCATTATTATTACTTAGTTATGTACTCCGAGCCCACCAGAGCAAGCTGGATTGGCCCAGAGGGAAATCGGTCTCTCCTGCTTTGTCAGCCGAGAAACGCGACCAAACCTGTGAATCTATTTCCTCTCTGCTTCCGACACCGACTCATCCGAGAGAAGTTCAAAAGTCAGGCTATATATATAGCTGAGGATTCCCCCAACACTGCAGGAATGGTCCAATAAATTGTTAAAAATGTCCACTAGAGCATCAAAGTTCAAAACTAAGGGGCAGGGAGGGATCTTACCACCAAATATTGAACCCCTTCACTACTTCTCCTCCAGTGGGCATTGATTCTTAAGAGCGTTCATGAGGGCATTTAGGCACTTTCCCGCCCCTCCTTTTTTTTCACCTCCTACAGGGGTATGAGAGCTTAGGAAGACACCAGGGAGTTGTAATGTTTATTGAAGCAGTTT